TGTAACTTCCAATTCTCTTACAAAACATATAACTTGGCTTTGTGTTTTCACCTGTGCAACTGCTTAGAAATGGCAGATTGTTTTCAGTCACAGTACAGAACTTCCTACACAAAAACTCTGAATGGTACAGCTACAAGAAGTTTTCTCCTACAGAACTACACTGTCTTACCTCTATGTTTCTAATCACGAGTCATCTCGGCTCCTGCTGTCTGTTCCTCAGGACCTCTACAGAATGCCTGCAGGTCTTTACTGTGTCTCTCCATTGGTTTCTTCCTCACTTCTTGCCCCTTCCTGTATTTGGGGAGACCCCAGCTGGCACTGAAATATGATGTGGATAATGGTGGACAGTCTGCATGTGCTGAGTATCTTAACACTGCAAGGACCACTTAACTGAAAGACTCCCTTCCTTACACTGAAGACACCAATCAGTTTCTTCCTAAGTTTAGCTGCTCAGCCGTAACTGCTGAAAAGTTCTGAGGGTGAATTTAAAGGCAGAATATAAACCTCACTTTCTTTGGCTGAAAAATCCGTTAGAGGCACACTGATGCTGATCTCAGTACTGACATCAAGACTGACGGATACTCCCTTCTCCCTCAGGATGGTGTGTCAAATGACCTATAGCTAATAATTTTCTTGGCCTACGATTGGGTAATTCTTAGATCTCCATCCCAAAGAAACAATCATACAGTTCTATCTGAGCTCAGTCCGGAAACTCTTCTAGCATTTATCAATCTTCAGTAAGAATCTGGTCTCACAACTGCTTCGGTCTACTTCAGGTACATGGAAAGGCAGAATTTTCAGTGATCAGTTTCAAGCATTAGAAAAAAGCCCTTCAGGATTCTTCTGCAGACTTTAGTCTTTTCCTCTGATAAATGGATAAGGCTTTTGTTTGTACAAAACCCAATAACCTATTGCCTCTTGGAAGAAAACAAGGATTTATCTTGGAAGACAAGATTTGTGAAACAAAATAGAATTGTTAGACTCATTCTACCCATATAAGTCAATTACTACAGATTTTTTTGATACTAGAACTAGTTTTGTGGGTCCTTACAATTAGGTCTAACTGCTGTTTTAAAGAAGTATCTCCTGAATTGGTTTGGCTCTTATTTGGTATCTTCTCTTGGCTTGAATGATGTAAAAGTAGTCACTGCCTAGATTTTTGGTGTGGATTTTTTTTAAGGTTGTCAAGTTTTTGTTCTATTGAAGACTATATTTGCATAGTAAGACATACAAAACAGCTGCAATAGCAATGTTTTGAATATATAGAACATGTATTTCATATAATACACATTCCTAGAACTTCCTATGTGGTATCTAGGCCAAAAATAGTAGGGTTTATGCCTTTGAAGTTATGACTTAATATTAAATAATAATTCTCGTAATTATTTCCCCCTGTAGGGGAACCCAAGAAGGTTTGAACTTAGGCAGACATATGAGGAATAAAACCACTTACCAAGACAAAAAAATCTACCTGACAACCTGAAAGTTACCAAACCCCTTTTAGAACTGGCAAGCAGAACACGCTAGATGCAGGTTAAGATAAAACCATAGTTCCAGCAACCAGTTTGACCAAACAAATACCACCCTGATAAGCAGAACACACCAGAGATCTAAAATCTGTGCTTAATGCAGGTTCTCCAGTTCCTGCTTGCCTTCAGTGCAGCCCTTGTTTAACAGAGACACAAAAACACCTATTGAAGTAACTAGCCTATGTTGGCCAAGAACTCATGCCACAACTTCAAAATCATGTAGGCATGTTCAGTGAAGGCAGAAAGGTAGAAGGTGTTAAGATTTCTCATTAAGAGGCGAGCTCAGGCAGTAACTAACTCAGACAGTATCCAGCCTCCTTTTTGGTGTAGAATATTAGTTCTGCTTTACTCAGAATTCTTAGATCTATAGGTAAGCTTATTTTTTACTGCAGTATTTCCTACCAAAAAAAATTCTATAAAAAAAATGTTTCAAACAATATATGGAAGTAAAACTTTAAACTATAAACATTTACTTGCTACAACAAAAATGCTGTTGTATCAATGAAAAATTCACATAAAAAATTGCAAACGTATTCTGGTTTTCATAGTGCATAGAAACTCCAAGGCAAAGTACCATAAACACAGTGTCTTAGCAAGGGAAATCTTTATCAGTGTTCAGCCCTTACAGTCAATCAACTAATGCCTTTTTGCTCCCCATTGTTTTATATTTGGATTTTAACTTGAAGTTGTTAAAGCTCCAAAATAAACTACAAAACCAAACAACAAAAGCAAAATAAGACTGGATTTTGTCCCCTGCCTCCAAGAAAATAGTCAGTGCTAGGCTTTCTGATATTTTCAAACCCATGCAAAAGAAATTGAAAAAAATATGGAAGATAATTAAATCTGTCCTTTTTTTTTCCTGTATTCCTTTATGTTCAAATAAAAATGACTAGCTCTAGCAAATTCTATTTAGATGATTTTTCCTTCTGCCTCCCTAGGGAGTTTGTGAATGCTGCCTGGTTTCCCCCCCCCCCCAATCTTTTTGTTGAAAGAAGAAATTATTTTGAAAACTTAACTTTTCCCTTTCTTAAAATAGAAGTTTTTATTTTCCTTTCAGATAAAAGACAACTAATGCAATCAACTTTTTTTTGTAGTAGCTGCACATTTTTCAGTTGCTGAATGCGTAATATAACTAAAAGGCATATTTAAGGTTACGGCAACTAGCTCTTTTAAAGCAAAATCATAAGTCATAACAGCAGCATCACAATTTTATCTATAAGAGAAATACTGGTATTCATGTTGCTTGATCCTATTACCCTGAAAATTCTAGCTCAAGACCTTCTCTGTTCTCTGAGAGGAGTTTAATGAACAATACAGTATGCTGCAAGAAGTAAAAGTACTAACTAGATAGGAAGTATAAGAACCGTGTATTTGTGAAATTTCTGTGTTCTGTATAAGTAATTGCAAAACTGGTTTTGCAACCCTGCTGTCATTTGTGCAAGTCTTAAGGAATTATTTCAGTTATATTCTGATATAGTATTGTATCCCCTTTGCTTCTTTCATCTATGTTGAAATACTTGAGCTGTACAGTATTTGCTTAGTCTACTTAGAATTACAGTGTAGTACCACAGAAATGTGGCAGCACATCCTACGAAAATCCTAACCTAAAGTATTCAGAATGCACCTATAGTTTTTCCTCATTTAAATGACGCTAAGAAAAATTAGAATGAAGACACTTTACTGTTCAGAGCAAATTGCAAAATTGTTACTGTTTCATTTAAATAATGATAAAGATTTCCCTTTGACCATTTCTTTGGTAAAAGTTGCTGTGCCATGTTTGTCTCATCTGCTAGTAAAAGGCATTTTCTTTGGTGGAACTAATTTTTTGATTTTACAAGTCCAGCTCTGCAACATTTAATATTCCCCTTCTGTATTACCTGCTCATTCAGTGAATGCAATGTTAGTTCCAATTTAGGACACAAAAATCAAATAGATTAGTCATAAACCAACAGGAAGTCTGACCACATAAAAATTGCCTTTTAGTAGTAAAATGATGTTACGGACAGCAAAGGTCTAAATGCAGCATATCAGAATATATTATTGCCTGTATCAAACGAGCAGTTGCACAACAATTATAAAAGCAACTTATTTCTTACAAATGTAGAGGAGTTTACTTAGAAGCATAGTGGATGTTTAAAATGCATAGCCAGATACATCTTCTATAAAGCTCTGTGATGATTTCCATTTCCGTTGGCTTAAGTCTCCTGAATTTAAAAAAGAATAAACATATTTCCTTAAAACAGAATTTTTTAATTTTGCTGCTTAATATTTTCCTGTATTTGTTTTAAAATAAACCCCATTCCAGTTTATGGTTCACCTTTTTTCTTTTTTTGGAATGGCCCAATTTGCAAATCTGAGTCCTTAGCAATTCATTGAGTGCCATGTGCCAAAAGGACTTTACAAGACTAGGGCCATAGATCCAATATGGAATAAATCCTTGGGATCCTAAGTCACAGCAATTAGCAAGTACAAAAATATGTAGGCAACAGAGGAAACAATATACTCGCTTAAAGTATTTGTTCTTGATTGTCCCCCATTTGTTACTCTCTTTATATGAGCTTTACCTCACACTTTTCTTCATTAAAACAAAGGGTATGGAAACGATCTTCCTTCAGGCAGATGGCGTGCAGTGAGGAAAAACAGTAACAGTAGTGACATAAATGCAAAGTCACTCACACCTCTCATCTTTAAATGAGACTGGAGTATCAGACGCAGAGTGAAATAACAATGGGAAATGGCTAAAGTGTGTAGGACTGGTCCTCAACTGACAGACCACCCTCTGACAAGCATTTCCAGATGGGCGTAAGTAGAAGGCCTGTAATTAAGACTGTAAAGAGGGCAGAGTATCAGGAAAGTCCATTATATAGCTTCCACAGGACTACATGTCCTGTTTCTTCTTTCTACTACTAACCCCTTCAGTCACTGTCTATTAAGACTTGTCTCTTTCCTGAACTCCTATAATCCCTTGTTTCACATCTCTGGTACTATCATATTTCTCACTTGCTAACACACTCACATCCTTCCTCTGTAAACTCAGCTGACACCCAAAACACAGCCTTAAAGAGCAGGATTTTGGGTACCTCAGCAATTCTTATGTATCTTGACACCTACACTGGCATTCATAGAGGTTTTTTATGATCAGGAGCCAAGCAATTAAGCAGGTTATCTTGGGTCCTGTTTTAAGGACTGCACAGGTGAACAGAACTATGAAACCAGAATAACAGCATTGAACTAGAAGGTTTTGGACTCACTTTCTTGCTGATGTTACATCATGGATGACTATATATTGTTTTGTCAAAACAACAGTTATATTACTATGTAGTTCCCACATTTAGAAAAACAAACCAACAATAGGAAAAAGAACAGAAGAGATTAGAATGGCACAGTGGATTTCTTTGTCCTTGTATTAGGCTTCTCAAGAGAAAGTAAACTTCATTCTGTTTCATCTTACTTACCTTTTTAGGAAGCAGATTAGATTTTTCTGTGCCTAGCACTACTGTTTTCCAGACCATTGCTTTCTTCTGATTTACTGTAAGAAAGAGAGGTTATATTCCCAAACTCAACTTTTTAGTATAGTATTAGTACAGTCATTCCAGTTCCACAATCAAATCATGGAGTACATCTAAACTACTTTCTCTTAGGAAGTGAAGTTACATTTATAGGAAAAAAAAAATGTTTAAACAAAATTTAAGCTACTAAAATCTGCTTCTTAAAGTCCTTCAGTCAAGTAATAAAGGTTCAACTGATTCCCCTCAAAAATCTAACAAAATTCTGGACAGAAGTTTAATAGTAACAGTATTCTCAGAGATAACTGCTGTACTATCATTGCATTCACTGTCTAAAATTTGTACGTAAAGTGAATGCACATATAATATACACGCAACATACAGCTCAACATCCTCAGAACACGGGCAGAAACAGTCATATGACGCTTCCTTCTGGAGTACCAACAACTAGCTAGTCGGTGTTGGTGACAATCAGTATTTGAATTAACCATTCTCTTGTTAATAAAATTCCATTTCTGAATCACTAGCTTCCCATCTAATACACTATGATATGTGACATATTAATTATAGCCTCATCCACTAAGTTCAGTTGCATATTAGTCATTCTTTGACGTAACAGACCAGAGAAGTTCCTTTGGAGCCATTCTCTCTGGCACATAAATAGATCTTCTGAAGAGTCAGTAGTTGAAATAACTTCCAGTTATTAAAATCAGGTAAGAAGTACATAGCTTAATAGATTTTCCTCATGTGTTTATCTAAGATAGAATTCTAAAGTAAAGATCAAGCAGCTGATCAAACCCATACCCCACATCTCATCAAGCATGTAAACATTATTTCAGTGTACTACACTACGTTACAATCCTATTGTAATAACAGTTTCAGCGTGTTTATAAAAAGTGGTGCTGTGCGACAAGGCAATTATTCAATTTACAAACCAGCAGCATAACACCATACTATATACCCAACACATATCCTCACTTCATAGTATAATTGAATTACAGCTTTAAAGCTGTTTAGATAAGGGGAGAAGCACTAAAATGTAGTTTCATTTAGCACTGAAAAAAAAAGAAAGTAGGGAAACAAACAAGGTCACTGTCGCCAGAAATTCAAAAAGAAGAGACAGCACTACTCAGTAGGATTAAAAAAGGGAAGATAAACATAGGAGGGGAAAAGGGACTGAGAGGAAGAAAACTGGAGCGGACCAGACATATCTAACAGGAGGAACTGCATCTTGGAACAAGAAGAAAGTTAACAGATCAAATGAAGTGACTGGGGTTCGAAGGACGGACAGAGGGAGAGAAGTACAGCTTATTCTAGCAAGCAAGCCTCTAGAAAGGTATCATCCCCACAAGGTGGGGGAACCAGCACGGGCGCACCAACCCTCAAAGAGAAGTGCCTGCACCTGCTCCTTTGGCTCCAGCAACACAGCCGTTCCTGTGCCCAGGGAGCCCAAGCCACCAGCACAGTGACAGGTCCCTCCAGAAAGGTTGGAGTCACCATCAAATTGACCCACACCACCAGCTCTCAACACCCCAGCAACTACAGGCTTATCCAGGACAGTAGGGCTTTGGCCACTTGGACGTGACAGAAGTATGTTAATATGGACAAGTAATATATGTATGAGAAAATTTTTGAAATCTCTTTTGTCAAATTTCTAACTGAAACCTCTTTTCCGCACAGTTATAGCATTTTAAAATGAGTTTATAATGAGGCCAGAGGGTAGACTTAGAAAAAAGTGAAATATCTTTCAAATGCTAAAACTAAATACCAGGTAGAAAAAAAAAAACATTCTGCACATTTTGAAATTAGGAAGACTTAACGAATGGAATAAGCTGTGCTTTCAACATTCATCATTAACCTTTACCAGTTAGGTCAACAACAAGGTATAATTTTATACAACACACTGCAATACACCAAGAAGCAAATATTTAACTACATCATAAGGATTTCTTTACTTACAGTTGTTCAATTTGGTCAAATTCTTTCTCATCTTCTGTGTAACAGAAAAAGGATTATGTAAGATCTCAATTCAACAAACACTAGAAGATATGTTTAATTATATTATTTACTCCACATCTAAGTAACACAAAAACTTATATTCCATCTTATTAGTTTTCTTAAATTTGTTACTCAAACTAGCTTGTTCCTCTCTTCAATGAGGTTACCTGCAAATTTGTCCAAAAGTTTACTTTGATCAAGTTTTATTAATCTGATGTTAATACATGTTATAATACATATATTGATTTATAAAATATAGAAAGATACATGTATGTTTGTATGTATAATGCACAGACACAAATATATATATAGGTTTTATATGTATTTAGCACTTCTGTTTCATACTTCGTACAGTGCCCCCTGTACTTGGCACTGGTGAGGCCACAGACTGAGTACTGTGTTCAGTTTTGCGTGCTGCACTAAAAGAAAGATACTGTGTTCAGAGAAGAGCAACAAAGCTGGTGAGGGGTCTAGAGAACACATCCTACAAAATGTGGCTGAGGGAACTGGCGTTTAGTCTCGAGAAGAGGAGGCTGAGAAGAGACCTCATTGCTCTCTACAACTCCCTGAAAAGAGGTTGTAGGGAGGTGAGTGTTGGTCTCTTCTCCCAAGTTACTAACAGAAAGGACAAGAATGGCGTCAAGCTACAACAGGTGAGGTTTAGATACTAGGAAAAATATCTTCACTGAAAGAGTGGTGAAGCATTGGAAGAGGCTGCCCAGGGAAGTGGTGGAGTTGCCATCCCTCGAGGTGTTCAAAAATTGTGCAGATGTGGCACTGCGGGACATGGTTTAGTGGTCATGGGAGTGTTGGGTTGATGGTTGGACTAGGTGATCTTAGGGTCTTTTCCAATTTTAATGATTCTATGATTCTACACACTTGCACTTTTCGTTCGGCCAACCTACATATGCCTTACATTCAGCAATTAGTATTAATGCATTCTGTTTTAATGCATTTTTGCTTCTTGTTCAATTTCTTGGTACTTCTGCCATCAAGGCTACTAACAGTTTTTTTATTCCTAAGCATTCCCCAAAAAGGATAGCCTCTAAATACCTCTGTCTTGTAAGGAAAAGAAAGTAGAACTATATGAAACAGTTCATGGGAAAGTATTGCTTATTGAAAGCCCTTTGCACATGAACTCAAGACTCACAGAGGAGATTCCAAAATCTAAAATAACACCATGTTCTAGAAGAAAGTATAGATGTGAACAATCACATGAACTTCATATATGAAAAGCTACGGGTCATACTTTTCTTTGGCTGCAATGTCAATGGAAAGCTAGAAAGACAAAAAAAAAGATTTACCTGCACTCTTCTCTTTCTTTTTTGAATACATCTCACAAAGGAAGACAATAGTTACTAAAGTAACAACCTCAGCCACAATTGCCAGAAAGGGTTTGAGGGGCACCATGAGGGACAGAACTTTAAGTTGCAGCTTTCCTTTACTCTTCCCTAATTCAAAAACTGCTTCACACCAATATACACCATCATCTTCCTCAGTGAGCTTCAGTATCTTCAGATGCGTTACATTGGCAGATATTCTATTAGTTACATACTTGTCTGTCAAAGAGTCATTAATTGCAATCTGAAAAGAAAATAAATATAATACAAGTCTTACCAATGCAATGACAAATTATTTAATCAAATTATTAATATCACCAACAGTCTCTATATAGAGATGTAAAATGAGTAAAGAGTATTTATCTCAACCAGCCACTCTGGTTTTCCTCACATTCAGTGGGGGAAAATAAGCACTTCTAGTTAGCAAGCTGCCCAACCTGTTTTAGTCTATTTAAGATCAGATTAAAGGCACCCTTGGGTCTATTAACTCTCCACTAACAAAGGCAGCCTCGGGTGTAAGGATCTGATGTCCAGGTTTCACCACAGCACAAGATACACCCTTTCAAGAAAGGTGAACTGAAAATGCTGCACCACTGGGAAATACGTTGATAGGTCTCAGAAGTCAGTGCTACACTTCAGGAGTATAGCAGAGACAGATCTATTTACTTCCCCTCAGTTGACAGTTCTTCTCCAAAAAAAGGGCTAGAAGAAGCTATACTTCCAGGGCTAAGGGGGATCCTGAAAGGTCGGTACATGAAGGAGAGAAACTGTTGAGTCCTCACAGCCTTTAAGGCAAGAGCTGAAGTAAGAAGAGATTTCAGCTCCTTCATAATCAGCTGGCACAGCAGTGTCCACATCAGGATGACCTCCTTCAGGCCCAGGGCCCCAAAGATGTCACAAAGGCTGGAAAATACAGAATTACTTATACATGAAGGAGAAGGAAGAAGAGGGACATGCTCCTGTTCCCCTCTCTCGAGCCTCCAATACACTATATGTCTTTAAAAGACTATCCTGCTATGGTATTTTTTATATCAAGTAGTAAGATTTGAGCAATATAACAATCATTAATACAGTAAAAAAAAAAAGAAAAAAGAAAAAAAAAGAGGTATCTCAAGACTCTCCTGATTTGTTCTTCTCTTATTTGGCCTTTAAGAGTATGTCAGGGACTTTTTGGAAGAGGAACAACATACAAACCAGAACAGAAACTATATCCCTGTAAAAATGGTTACACCTAACTATCACTTTTCCCCCCTCTCAACGTACAGAGATTTACATTAACATAAATGCAATTTACAGAGCCTATCGTGAAAAGTCGTATCTTAAAAAAGTGTCTGTCCTTGGGTTTGCCATATTGTTTTGCTTGGCCAACAGATGCAAATCTTACCTGTTCACTTCCGTTGGTCATGTACCAGTTCCATGCAATGGGAGTATAGCCAGAACTTTTACAGATCATTACAGCTGTATCTCCTTCATAACTAACTATGGGTTTTTCTTTTCCTTCAACTTTTGGTACTAAGAACAAGTAGGAAAAAGTTCATCAAGTGAGAGCTACAGGTTTTAAATACAGTATTACAAAAAAACCCAACCCCATATTTAGATACATACTTACAATAGTCCCTTCACTTCCTTTTTGCTTAAAAACACAGATTAGTATCACTCATGACACGATCTAAATGAAGAGTTATTTCAAGCTGATATTCATTATACAGAATTTGTGCAGAAAACCACCGGAATTTTGTTCTCAGTTGCTGTATGATCTTAAAAGTTGCCACTTAAAACTCAAAATCAAGTGATGATCAGACTGTGATTTCTACCCTTGCCCATTTCCTCTTCCCCTTCCTTGACAGCTGTGAGCCACCTGCTTCAGTTCTAGTACTCTAGAAAAGCACATGCTAATTTTTCTGCAAAAGCTGATAGAAGCCTATTACAGCTCTAATGCTACCACATAACATCTGATAATTTGTGCATCCAGAGAATTTTTTTTTGTAATTAAGATAAACTGCAGATTGAGGGAGCATTGAAGTTACAGACATCTCAACTGAAACAATGATTTTCAGGTGCGTGCCCATAAAAATGACTTTTAATCCAGCTTTACCAAGGACAGAACATAGCCACAGGAAAAAAAAAGCATCAGTTCTTAACTTTAAAGCTACTTGTCCCAGCCATTATAACTGCCTTCCAAGAGCAAAAGATCAAAAAAGAATATATTGAGGTATCATACAGACATAAGTAGAGCTGAGCAAACACATCATATGCTGGATTATGTATCTCCCCTTCCCCCTTCTTTCTCTCTTTATTAGGATGTTTACTAGCATTTTTTCTTCATATCCATTTATTTTAATTTATACTTCAAGTTTCATTGCTCTATCTTGTAAGTACAAGGTCCAGTACATCTTTTAAATTATATTGGTCACACTAAACACATAAAGAATTCGCTTTCAGCAGTTATGATGGAATAATTTGGTATAATTTGGTATAAACTGAGATTGTTACTGTTTCCAGCCAAGTACAAATTAATTTTCCCAAGAAGTTCACTTCGTGGGTATTTAAACTTAAAAACTTCCATTACAGAAATATACATGAAACCTATTAGTAAGAACACTGTTTACAACCTCAAAATTTGCTGCACCATTCATCAATCCAGCCTCATTATGAGTGAAGTCTTCTTACCGCACATGTATTTAACAAATAAATACTATTCATCTGAAGAGCAGTGGCAGAGTATCTTCACTGCTATCAGTAAAAGAGGCAGCTTTACTAATATCTGCTGCCACCTCCTTTGCAATTTATAGAAAACAAAAGCAGGTTGGGGAAAAAGAATGGGATACCTGAAAACAAATAAAAACCCTTATACCCAGCACAACACGTTTATGTGACAGTCTAGAAGATTTAGCCATGCTGATCAACTGCACAGCACAGCTATAGGCATACCAGTAATACATGTGATCATGCTAGACAAGATTAAGGACATGAATATCCATCTTGAGTTCTGGGATCTGGCCCTGTGACATAGTGCTTAATCCTTGAATGCATGTAAGGAAATTATACGCTTTGTCCCAGGTATTTTTGCAAGTAGATCACTCAGAATTTGGTGACAAAAACACTGCTGCTGCAGAGAAAAAAACCAAACTGTTGAAGAGACAGAGAAGTGATCACACCAGCATTTATACTAGTCAGATTTCCACATTAATTATTAGAGGCACAGAAAGTAGAAGACAAGAGAACCGCACCGTTAGATTTTCCAACAGGAAATGTGCTTATAGATAGTCTTCCCTGTAATGTTACAAAAATCTATGCATATCAGCTGTACTTGTGTGTGTTTAAAGAAGAGCAAGGATCTATAAATTTACTGTAGGCCAGTCATAATGACCAGATGTTGCACTGCTTGTATATACATATAATACATATTATAAATGAAGGATCCATTTCCATACTAATTCCCAATAAAGACCAGAGTCGTTTCATGGTACATGGACAAGGACAGCTGCTTAAGGATCCCTGAGCGAAGGGCAAACACATTCTATCCTTCATCAGCTATTACAACACTTCACATCATTTTAAAATAACCATGAATGCTGTCCATGTTTAATAATTTGAATTACTTATAAGCATCTCATTGTCTTCTGCAGACCTGGGTAAAAATTTAATTCCTCATCACCTGCAGAGTTATGCCAAGCCAAGGTGTGGTGGAAGGGGAGGCAAGGTAATGCATCCAATAACACCTGTCTAGTGGAAAAGCTATTGCAGTTAGTTACAGCAGTGATGACTTTAGCCACTGAGCCTGTATCAACGCATTACTCATCTTTCAGTTTGAGAATTGTTCTCTCTGCGTTATTGACTGGAAGATTCAAGGACTTCTCTTTCCCATTTCCTCCACTCTTGCATTAATCTTGAAAAGTGTCAAGACAGTACTTTTTATGGCATCAGAAATGGCAGCATTCAACCATTGTGAAGCAATTCTCCCATCTTCTTGTAATAAATCAACCAGTCCTATGCACTGTTCTGGAAAAGATGACTTCTCTATTGAGTCATTTTTGCCCTTACTGAAATAGTTTGTGTGTACTTTCAAAAGAATAAGGTCTCCTTTGGCTTTTCTTAACCTAAACAGACTTGGGTAGCCATCCAACTAAACCTTGCCCACATGCTGAAAAGGAAGAATATTTAATCATTTCTAGAGCTTAAAAGGTTTGAATAAACTAAACTATAATTTTCTTGTTCTTCAGTATTGCAAGCTAGTCTCCCCTGGGTGAAGGTTTGAAAACAGGTATCAACATAACTACTCAAGATTTGAACACACATGAGAGTTTCCTTGAATCACATGACCAGCTACCCCACTGAACAATGGCTGCTTGGAACACTGAGAATTACAAAGCCCTGCTGGTTAGTTCATCTGAGATTAGGGCAGTTATCTGAAGAGTTGGGGTTTAGAAGCTGGTATTCAGAGAGAAGCTTTTCTATATATCACAATCTCTGGAGCTTTCACAGATCAAATGCTTGCCTTGCTCTTTGCAAAATTTGGATGGTGGGAATAAAGAAGGGAACTGGTCTCAGAGATGAAGGCTCTCAGCAGCTCGCATTTGTTTTATCTCCACATCTTGAATTCAACTGGATATCACCAGCTACTGTCAGGAGCAACATTACTGGAGAAGACAATACCAAACCAGAAGAAAGGGCACTCATACTGCCCAATGAAACATGCTTTTAATGTAAATGCTGTTCTTATATAGAACGAAAGATGTACTAAAGCAACAAGTTGGTGTTCTAGAAATACAACTGAATTTGTTCAAAAACATGCTTCTGTTCTCCCAGTCATTGCTCCTGTTGTAACACCAAATCTCAGGCCAAATTTTCAAGTCATTGGCTCTGCTTTTTGAAGCATTTGAGGCACCATCCTTTCTTCTCACCCCATAGAAAGCGATGAGTATTCACTTTTCCTCTAGGGATGGAGCAGGAAGGGGAAAAAAATCAGTTACTCATTTAGGAAAAAAGTAAGCTTATATGTGCTTTTGGTTGTCAGCAAGTTTAAAAGGCATTTATTTTTTGCTCTAGATTTCACCTTTCCTCCATGATACAGAATGTCCTTGGTAGTGGTTCTCATCTATCTTGACCATATTAGTCACTGTTTATCAAATTAAGATGAAATCTCATATTATCTGGAAACCATACTACTATAGCACCACAATGATCAAGCAAAGCAAAATTTAAAATAAATTAAAATTATACATAAAAATTAAATACAAGTACCTTGTAAATGAAACACAGCACTGATTTCTTCTTCACCTTTCAGAGTACAACTATAACTTCCAAGCTCACTGTTATCCAAGATCCTCAATCTTGCAAAAAAAAAAAAAAAATTTTGCTTCTTTGCTTTTATTTTCTCCTACAACTATCAGTGATTGCTAATTAACATTCTAAAAAATGGCCAGCAGAGATTAGTAGAAGAGCAGAGAACACACACTGCTGAAGCACTAGGACTCAGGTTTAGTGCAATGTGGAAATAACATTTCTAAGAAAACAGAAGAGCACAAAAACACACCTGGGAACACAAATGTAATTTTCACCCTTCTTGCTCACAGAAGGCCAAGCATCTAAGTAGTATGATCTATAGCACACCAAGTTAGACATAGGTTTACCACGTGAACTATATAACATATCCTATATAGGACTTCAGAAAAGATTATTTAAATGGTTTATTTTTTCTAAAGACAGTCATATGGTTAGCATAGCTTCAACCCAGAACAGTTTTAAAAGAGCTGCTATGTAATGAAGTGCAGCATCTTCTCTGCTGACAAACTATCCATTTCACAGGCACTTTCAAAAAGATATACATGGTTGTGTTTGTATACATGGAGTAGCAGAGAATTAACAGTACATTCTGATCACATTTTTCTATCACAGAAATTTTATATAAATATTATTGATGTTAAGAAACCAAAGCTATACAGAAAGCAACTGAAAACTATCCAGTTAAAATTAACACACTTAAAATTTACTGTTGGGTTTTAAACTTATCAACTGAATAAAAATTTTCTCCATTTCTTGAGTCTCTGTAGAGGTTTGCAAGAGTTAAGAAAATCTTTAAAACATTCAAAACACCTTTAATGTAATGCTATTTTTTTCTCTCTTTTGCTAATTATGAAAGAAAACCTAGTCACTGATGCCTGTCAGAATTCTGCAAAGAAGCATTGAGGTGGAAAACAGAATGGGGAAGTAGAAGAAAATAAAAACTTTTAGAAGTCTCAGACTGAGATTACTACTTACTGAGTAGCATTACTGGACCTTAAAAATCTGCATCCTTATTCTAAACTACTGGTTTTAGGAGATCTTGTTTTCCCAGCACCAGAGGATGAACAGGAGTTCTTGCTCCAGGCTCAAGGTAATTGCAACCTTTCTCCTTTCCTGCAGCTTCAATAGGTCAGTTGTGGGTATATATTTATCAGCACATTTGGCTCTTTTCTAATATACACATGACTAGTATTGGGTAGTGTGTATGCATATGGTAACTTCTTAGAATCTGAAAGACAAACTGCAAAGATTGCTACTTACTGGATGCTCCAGCTGTTTTCAGTTTTATTGATATATCCAATTGTTTCATTTCCCCTCTTCCAAATCACTTGAAGACTTTTCAAATGAGAATATTTACTGTCCAATCTGCATGAAAGCTCAATTCTAGTTGCACTGTGCAAAGTGATATTTTTTTCCATGAAAGTACCAGAAATACCTAAAAGCAGTTTAAAAAAAATGTTTATGAAAAATATTTCTTCATTCTGGGGGAAGAATAAGAGATACAAAGATCATGTTATATATATGTTGGATTACAGGTGGATATAGCGTGCCCGTTACACTTTTCAGGGTAAAATAACCTACAAAATCAGACAAGTGTTTGACAGTAATTTTCTTAAACCATAATTGAGTTATAACACACAGCCATTACAAAAATGATACAGTAGGTCCATTCTACAGGTAAACTTCCTAGATGGCTAATACAGCAACATTCATTTAACTCAAAAGCAAGATAGACTTAAGCTTCCACATAATTTAACCCAAACCAGTACTTGGATTTCACCAGGGGAACAATGTCTGATCTCAGCCTAAACTTCATTTTTTGACATCACATTTGGTATTAAAAGAATTTATAGGTGTACAAAAAGTTATATTGATAATAAATAAAAAAGTTAGATTTGTAAATACCTATAAGCATCTACGTTTCAGCCAATTTCTGATTCTTACAACACTGTGAGATCACAGGTAATGTCCCATTGCTAGTGAAGTTGTTGATAGAATCCACAACTTTCATATTGCTGGATCTGGCTTTTCACACTACAACTACTCAACTTGAAAACAAATAATCTTCAAACCCATTTATGGCTGCTTTTACCTAGTGGCAAGACAGTAGAATTACAATGTGAAAACATTCCAATACAGTAGAAAAACATGACACTGCTTTTAACAAGTCTGTGAGCACAAACTAAGTGTATCCAAAATCTAAAGTTTCAACAGCAGATACCTGATCCACACAAAAAGCTTTTTTGAAACAACAAAAAACCTCAAACTTCCAATTTCCTACTTGTCAGCATTGACATTTTATTTTATAACTGGCCTTTTTCACATCTTCTAGATGTTAGTCCCTCTGAATATTCCATGAAACTTTATTCCAGGTCTCACCTCAATCCTAGACCCACTCTGTAGTACTTCATAGTCAAAAAAGTGCAGCTGTATTTCACAGCTGAAATTCTTTCTGAGAGAAAATGAACTTTTAAGGTGGGGCTCACTTAAAGCAAGCCATATCTAAGAAGCAGCAAAAACTGGCTGAAGTGGAAGCACCAAATACTCCTACAAAATACTTGAGCTTCACTGAGCCTGGCAGACATTGACAACTTGCAGGACAGCATGACCAGAACTCCAAGTCCCAGCCAAAGTACTTGTTGAGCTGTAGTTAAAACAGAATTGCAATAACCTGGTTTTTCATAGTAGATCAAAGTCAGTTACTGAAACTCATTTATTAGAGTATAGCTCACCTTGTTGAGGTTACGATCAAAGTAATTTTACAAACTCAATTGGCTTCACAGTAACAAAAGTTTTACATAGTACACTGGCCAAAAACAGAAACCACACTTTGAGATTTTCAAAACATAGCCACACTTTAAGGGAATGAAACATGAAAACCCTATGCTGTTGAAGATTAACCACTACTAAGACTCTGATCTCTGGTGCATCTCTGTACCAAGAGTACAAGCACCACAACAAGAAACAGATATCATCTTAAGTTTTGTGCTAGAAGAAAATACAGCACAAGTGCTGTACAATTATGTGCTTAAAATATCACATCAGTTATAACTGATCTTCGAGAGATTTCCATTAGCTTTTCCACTTGTCCACGATATTAGTTAAAAGTTATTCGCCAAGTGGGAATTTCCTATCTATTTTAACTTTTCTTGCTTTTCATCCATGCTTGAACTCCTGCAATGCTGCAAAGCTGACGAACACCTTCCAGCTGAGAAGTACCCTAGCTTATGTGGTCTCTCAAAGTGGATTCACTAATGCAAAGAAATTGTCACTTGAATTGATTTGGAGGAATAGTTATGACTTGTGTTTACTTGTGGCTTTAATAAAATACAAATCTCATTCTCCACTGCAAAATTGTTATTTGAACACAACACTAGCATGACAAACATTAATCTTTTCTCTTACTGAGCTCATCACATGCTTACTGTAAGCATCTTCATCAAGAAGTTACTATCCCAGATACTTGTGTAATTCATACAAAAGATTGTGTATAATGACATATATAGTCAATATAATGTAACTGCAAAGGAAAATAACTCACCAGTTAGGAGTACCTCATACTCTACAAAAGTTGTATTAGAAACGTTCTCTTTGGTTGTGGTTGTCTGCTTGAACTCTTGTGTGGTAAGATCTTGACCTAACAAGGTTGCAAGTAAAGTGATACGTTATGATCTTATCAAGGTAATTGAACAGCAGAGCATCAATACAGTATTGAACCTGTTTCTTACAGTAATCTTATGGGGGAAGAAAAGACCTTGCCAAGTGGCTACTATGGAGATCCTTCCATATACCTTGTGTGTTAACAGCTAAAATAATAAAGCAGCATGTGATCACCGTTCTAGTGACGATGCCATTTTACAAGATTGCTCCCAGCCTTGATATAAACATAACTGTCAACACTCTAAAGAAGTCGTAACTACCTATTTCACAGCCTGATTCAGAGTCACCTTATAGCCTTCAGGTAAGTCCTAAAACTATACAGGATTACATCATTGCTTAAGCCGAGCTTTGGAAAAGTAATAAGCTTCAGATAAAAAAAAAAAAAAAGAAGAAACAGAAGGACAGAACACCATCATTCCTAAAGCCACTGCAATTTATCAACATAGACAACAGCCAGAGGTAGCTAGCTAATCCAGATGAAGCTCTATTGAATGCACAGGCAAGAAGGCCCTGTGCTCCACTGGAACATGGGCAGAATCCCTCACTGCTCCACAAAACTTACATTATACTGCAGGAAATATCTTTTCACATACAAAGAGTATCAATATTGACCATCACCTGCCTGATTAAAATACACACTCCTTTCCTTCTGAGAGGTAAAAGTACATTTAAAATTTTAATATGGCCAATAAAATCCCTTTTCTGTAGGGTTATGGATAACACACTATTCAGAGACTACCTTTATAAAGGTCTACAAAGCACGGTACAGCTATCATGCAGGCAACTGTAAGCATAAAGAGTCTGTTCCCACCATGTTCTTATGCTCTGTGCACCTCAAGAACAAAGAAAGAAAGGAAATTAATAAGCTACAGCTTTAACAATGGATGTAGTCCAGATAAAGCAGCATCACCATTCCATATTACAGAATCACAGAATGACCAGAGTAGGTAGGGACCTCCAGACATCATCTACTCCAACTCCCCTGCTAAAGTAGAATCACCTAGAGCACATGACATAGGAACATATTCATGCAGGTTTTGAAAGTCTCCAGAGGAGAAGACTCCACAACCTCTCTGGGCAGCCTGTGCCAGGGCTCTGCCACCCTCACAGTAAAGAAGTCCTTCCTCATGTTTAGATAGAAATTCCTGTGTTCCAGCTTGTGTCTGTCATCCCTTGTCCTGTCACTGGGCACCACTGAAATGGGTCTGGCTCCATCCTCCCTGCACCCACCCTTTAGATACCTATAGGCATTGATAACTGCTCCTCTCAGCCTTCTCCTCCCCAGGCTAAAGAGTCCCGGCATTCTCAACCTTTCCTCATAAGAGAGATGCTCCAGTCGCCCAATCACCTTCATTGCCCTCCGCTGGACTCTCTCCTTTAGTTCCCTGTCTCTCCTGAACTGGGGAGCCCAGAACTGGACACAGTATTCCAGATGTGGCCTCACCACACCAGAGCAGAGGGAGAGCATGACCTCCCTCAACCTGCTGGCCAGACTCATAATGCAGCCAAGGATATCGCTCCCCTTCCTGGCAACAAGGATACGTATCTACACACAATCATTTTCTTAGTACTGCACTAACTCCATACATGTTCCTAGTAAACTGAAGCACATTGTGGGAGAAAACACTACAAAATATGCTTAAAGTAAAGCTCAATTCAATACAGGTATAGAAATTTCAGTTTTAAATTTTTTTTCACATATAAAAAAATAGAAAAGTATAATTTTTTATGCTTTCTATACAGCTTTAAACATCAAACTGTTGTCTGAGTAATTACCAACTAATACAATTTGTCCATAACCACCTGATTAAAAAATATCAAGGGTAATCCAAATTTACCAATTTAAGTAGAAGACAACAAGTGATGCCTCTTACCTGGTGTAGATACATTATATCGAAGTGTCAAATAATCTGAAGGACTCCCCTGAGTTTGCCAGTTGGCAGTTTTTGTAGTTACCGTCTCTGAAAGGTGAAAAAACAAACCTCTTAAAGAAAATTTTTTTTGTTTAGTGATGAAAAAAACCCAGAGATTTCTTCCCCCATGCCCTAGGGTAGATACAAAACACTAAATGTTTTAATTCACATTTTACATGCTTGCAAAGTAATTTCAGTGTCAGTTATTTTATAATGCATTTCAGACATACATAAACAGTAATTATGGATTGAATCTGCCTAATCATTATAAGAGAAAATTAGTCTAGATTTTGTAGAAAAATAGGGGCTTCATTATCTCCCCTGTCCACAGATTGAAAAGGTTCCCACTCCTAGTTGGGAAAATAGAGAAAACTGGGATACAGCTTCAGTCATCTCACTGAGAGAAGCACAGGGTGGCAGAGTTGATCACTGTGCAGTAGGAACAGCATCTCTGAAAGCCCAGGTCTTCTCACAATTACTCTTTCTCTTTTCCTGCATAAAACACAAACTTGGAGGTAAAGTTATTAAACACATGCCTCTCTGCCACCGTGGAGAGAACTGGGCTGTGCTGAGAAAGGTCCCTGTTAGCAGTTTGCACCTACAGGTCTCTGAACAAGCATAAGCAGAGGTACCGCATCCCTTCCAAGTTCCTGTGGTGTTCTGTAAAGCAGGGGTTTTCATCAACACGTCAGCTCACAACACAAGGCATGCTGTGTCACAAGCAATCAGCGTTTTGCTTGGCTTCTTCTATGTGTATTTTTATACCTTCCCTCTTCAACCAGTTTAAGTAACAATAAACCTGTATATTAAGGTTAACAATGTAGAAGAACAGAGCTTCAAGCTTGTCCATCTTATGGTTGTTGACAAGTTAGTGTTGTCAAACCTCTACCTGTCCAAAATGGCTTTTTAAGCAAAAAAAAAAACAAACCAGCTATCTCCTAGAATTAGACATTAAGTCCTGTTTCTCTAGACAAGAGCACAAGCAAGCCTTGATCTCTGCTTGATAGAGAAACAAACTAGTCCAAGTATTTACCCCCAAAATAACACATGAAGGCTTAAAGAGTTGTGTGGAATCTTCCTTTGTGTGTGAAAAAAAAACACTGATAGAATGCCAAAGCCATCACAGGTCACCTGAGTTTGTCAGTCTAATACACACATCACCCAGCTTGTTACCAAAATCCCTAACGATGGCACATTCAGAAGGCACCAGAGCCACTTCCCATAGTAGTTGTTATCCATTCACAAAACTTAGAAAACCTTTAAAGTGTCTTGCACATTAATAGGATCCTCATACACATATCCTTCCTTAATTCACATATCAAAGGAACATAGTCAGGCCAGGTCACATCATACAAAATACTTGATGTATTTTGGCTCATATGTACATGTATGTGTGTACAGACAGAGTTATTGCATCTATTAACTATTACACTCCCTCCAGTTCTTGCACACATGGTGCTAAAAAGCTCTGAAGATGAACACCAGGTAAATAGCATTACCACCTCCAAAACCAAAAACATCAGAACTTGCTTGAGCTCATGTATAAATATAACTTAGCCCATGTTTGAGTTGCACATGAGCTTTGATACACTGCTGAATTCCTGCTTCCCTGATCTTTATGGAAAAAGTAGAGGTAGAATCAACAATCATGGGTTTCTTCTCCTACCTGGAACTTACTCTCTGCTCCCTATCAAAAACACAAATAAGATCCAGAATATAGTGAATAAAGTGTAATGACAACAGAAAGTTTCAGCACATCCATAACTAAAAATATAGACAGACGAAGCCAGCAGGCACAGTGATGAATTCTGTTCCTTCTGAAAAGTCACCACCCTATTTCAAAAGACTTTAGTACTAAAAGGTATACTCTACTTGGTAACTTAGCACCACTAGGAAAAAGTACTAGAGCTTCAGATGTACTGAAATAAAACCATTACCAGGAGATGATTCATCAAGTCCAGTTTGCATCTTGGTCAAAGAGTTTGCCTGAGACTGATTGGCATCTTGTGTTGTAATAGTTGCATCTAAAAAGAAAAAAAAAGGGGGAGGGGGGTTAAAGAAACTTTATTGTCTCTCAGTTGAACAGAATTAGAATTCTTTTCAAGAACTGGAAATTTCTAACAGAATCTCCTCATCTCAGCCTACTACTTCAATTTTCTCATGAGTTTTGAGAATGTACAGCCAAAATGTGCAAGAATTACTTTTCATTTGTTCTTTAGCTTTACTTCAGGTAACTAAAAATTAACAGAGGCAGTATGTATTTGACCTCCAATTCCTGTATACAGATACAGTTAGCCTATAATCAAAGCAAAGCCATTCTTCAGGATATTCCAGCAGATCAATAAACTTTATAACCTGCACTCAAAGCCTGTCTTGTTTGTGGGCTTAGATTACCACATCTTAGGAGAATGGTACTAGTTGACTATTTTTAAACACAGGTGAGCAGACTGACTAACAGAATAAGGACATCATTAAAATCTTACACGTCTATCCTGTTTTGTGATGCTGTGAACAACCTCCTTTCTTTCTACTAACACCTTGGTGAGCAAAACAAAAGGCATCTTTGTCAAACATAGACTTTACCAAGTAACACTACTGATTTAACACCACTGCGTATCTGATTCTGCTCCTATAATACGGTTTTTGTAAGAGGCAGGCAAGACTCTAGGATTATGCTTTATATTCTTGACTGGAGGAAATGTCAGCAAGGAAAGGGGCAAAAGACTTGCTTAACTGCTGTGTCACTCTTTCATTAAGAATTCATACTCCCTAGATGTTTTATAAAAATGGAGGTGTCTTCTCTTTCCTTTCTATTCCCACATTCAGGTGGCAGAACTAGTTAGTGCAAGATAAACACATACTTAAGTATTCCAGGACATGTTCTACTGCCATAACAGCAGAACACTCTCTTCCTCAACCTCTGAGTGATCTCACATTAGTAGTTTCTCTGTGTTTTGGCTGGTAGTTACACAGGGAAAATGTGTTTTGCAGTTGCAGGTGAAGTGCAGGAGAGGTAACGAACTCTGACAGACATCCAAGACAGCAGTAAGCATAGATGAAAAGTGAAAAGCCACATGATACTTCCAAGTATATTCAAAACTTGTGGAGAATTGTGTACCTTCAGCAGAAGGTAAAGTCAGCACCCTGCGAGTTCCTAAAAGTGAACAACACTACTAACATTCCTACCCTATCTCAGCACTGTAGGCATAGTCAACCTACAGACTCTCCCACTGGCATCTCCAGAACAAAGTTACTCCAAACTACATCAGAGTCATGGCCAGCCTGCACCATCTGCTTTCTCAGTCTGCTCATCATCCCTCAACCAGTTGGGAGTAAGAGTAAAACAAGGTAGGCAAAGGATACGATACAAAACGTAAGTATTGGTGTTTCTTAACGTTTTTCACAGTTTGTCATACCACTCCAGTGGTCTCACAGCCAAGTGTTCCCTCCCAGACCTTCACTCAGGCAAAAAACTTCAGCAAGCTGTTCTGTCTCAGTATCTGCTAGCTTATGACCCAGCCAATGAAAAGACTTGAGTCTTATTCTCTCCTTGACAGAGACGCTGAGCGAAGAGAGAGCTATTATGCTTCTGATACACATGGTAAGGTTGAAGAAAGGTCCATGAATTTTTATATCTGCAGCATCTTGAGGCATTCTAAGGATGTCATGGATCACCTGACTGTGTCTGGTTAGTAGATGCATCACCTGCACAGTAATTAAAATCCCCAAAGATGATAAATTTAGAAGGTGCCAGTGCCAAGCCATACAGCAGCTTTGTTATCTCTCTGCAAGGTAGGCAGATAACCTGCAATGTGGTTTGCATACTAATAAGGTTGTCATCTTGGCTTTCTTCCTTGATTCACATACCAAGTGAAAGCAGTTAGTGTTACTTCTAGTCAGCACTGCTTCCACATTTTGTCTCATATCTGAACATATGTCAAATTACATAGCACAGAGATAAGATTACACAGATCTCTCCCTCTCATATACACCTGCCGAACAGCAGCTGAGATCAAGATGACCCAGCACTGCATGATTAGTGTCATCAAGACAGGCAGTGATGTAAGCAAGTCAAGTGGACTTCCCAAACTATTGAGTCATGGCTGCATGCTTTAACCTGAGCGAATCAGCAAAACTGATTTGGATTAGATTTATTCAGGAGTGTGGTAGCTTGCTGAGTTCTTGTTGTCCTGATCTTTACTCAGGAAGGAGTAGGTGAGAGTATGAAGTTATTTATTGATCTGTCTTACCCCTGCTCTCTACTGCAGCCAATATTTTAGTGATAAAATGTGGATATACCATACTTGTCATCACCAGTGCACTCCGGCCACTCTGACTGCAAGCATTTATTTTGCTTGGGAAAAAAAAAAAAAAAAACGATAAACCCCCACATCTCCAGGACACATGCCTGGCGTTTCTCGACTTCACTAGAAGGCAGTTTTAGTTCTCCCTCCACTGGAATGTCAACTTCCCTCTGCTGCAGTTCCAACAGGCAGTCCCTGTGCCCGAATCGCTTTTTGCACATTTCATTAGTAACCAATGGCAGAACAATATACTCATACCCTTCCTCATATTTAAATTATCATGGAAGTCACAGTATGAAGCCTCCCTACCTAGTTCCTACAAATAATGCACATTTAATACAAGTCTGAAAAACAACAGCTTCAACTTACACAGATAAAAAGTACTAACGCAGGTGGCTCATCCCTGATGTCTGCTCAAACTCAGACATGATATCCACCTTAGGAAGAGGGTAGATTTGTGGAAATTTTGAAAATACAAATAGGGTTTTGTTGTTTGGTTTTTTTAGTTATTTTTAGGTGTTTTCTTCCTCAAAAGAGGCTACCATTTCACTGAGGGCTTTATATAAACTTAGAATTCCTTCAACCACCACTACTGTTTTCAACAGTAATAGTAATCAAAAATAAATGCTCTGTGGCTAACTTACCATAACGTGACTCATATGTTCCTACAAATATGAGGCCATTTCAAGTCTCAAATGGTTTTTATCAATTAAGTAAACTGTTAGAAGAGTCTTCAAGCCTTGTGTGTGTACATACATAAACACACATATTTTAAAGAAGCTTTAAGACTCATAGAATGTTAGAGGTTGGAAGGGACCTCCAAATATCATCTACAAAGCAGATCTCCTCTTTGTGCATATACAAATATTTATATTTTAAATAAGTGTTGAGAACTGCAAAACACTTTTTCCATCCTTTCACATTATGTGAAACAACTAAGATTTTACTGAAGTTATCATCATACAGAGAGCCACATTGCTCCTCTCAGTATTACGAGAATTCACAGAGGCACAAACATGTAACTCCTTACATATCCCACACTAAAAATGCATCTAAGCCGCTGATCACCGATTAAAGTCACAGCAATAATGTTCACAGACACGCAATGGCAGAACCTTCAGCCTCAGCAAGGCATGCTCCAACAATCACATCTTTGCATAAATACCGGCAATCTGATATTTCCTTCCATTACCAGCATGTGCTGCTTTGCAACGGTTCAAAACCAGAAATTAACAACAGAAATTCACTGGTTTTCAGAATAAGTTCCTATCGCCTTGGAAGTGGCCGGCCTACTCCCGAGCTGCTGCGAGTCACCAGACGAAGAGGAAAGGCCCAGAATGCTCAAGTATCTCCTGCTTCAGGGGTTTTTAAGTTCCACATTTAAAAACCCAACATAAAATCCTCCAAGGCACATCTCTCACAGTCCACCGGGCACATACTGTCATTTTATTAATGTAATTTATCTTTTTTTTTTTTTTCCTGGGAGCTAAAGCCTTACTTGATAAAGATGGGACAGCAATAAACCAATTACGCCTCAATGCCCAAGTCCTGCACCTGCGGCCCAACAAACCCTCCCATTCCCGAGGCAGAAAGCGGCGGGAGGGGGTCGGTGTCCGGCCGGGGG